CTCTGTGCTAACATGGTACCGCGACTTGAACTGATGAATGTACGTACCAGTTCTAAGATGCTGCTGACTGAGTACTTGTTTAAAACGCAAGATCATTTATTAAGACGCCTAGGTCATAAGATTTTGTGAATATAGACAGACAGACAGATAGATACAACGCAGAACTTCGTACGTACGTACATCAGTTCACGTAGCCATACCCCATCAGCACAGAAACGCAACTGTCAGTTCAAATCCAAGAGTGATAGCAGTAATAGAAGTATTAGCAGTAATGGAGAAGATTAGGGAGCGAAGATATGATTCGAGAAGTTTAATTCAGTAAGATAAATTTAGGAGGAGAAAGGTAGAGATTATGAGGAATGCAGAAGGTTAGAATTTCATAGAACACAAAGAATGGATGCACCTGAGCCATTGTAAACGATTTCGAGTCATGTCGTTCAAGGTCTCTAATCACTGGTGACTTTGGTCTCGTGGACCCCAACCAGGTAGCCTACATCTACCAACATGACTCAGTCCACTTGTCAGTGACTTCATGGATTTCTGCCATGTTTTGGTTTGGCCGACCCTAGCTTTCTTCCAATCTACTCCTACACTGCAGAACATAGCTCGTCGCGGCAGTCGGTGGTTAGCCATACGTAACACATGTCCCAACCACCTCAACTGATGAAGTTTCACCACTTCATCTATTAACCTGCCATCCTTACCTAGAACTCGTTTCCTAACGACAGCATTGCTTTTACGGTCGTCTCATGATACACAAGTAATGCTTCGGAGACATCGATGATCGAAGACTAGTAACCTTCGGAAGTCCTCCACTCTTAACGGCCAAGTCTCGCATCCGTACAGTAGGACGGAGCGAACTGCTGCACAGTACACTCGTCCTTTGGTTAGCGAGCGTATATCTCGCCTGCACCATTGGTGACGCAGGTTGGCAAAAGCCAATCGAGCCTTCTGTATCCAAGCTGAGATTTCGTTAGTCACCAGGCCATCAGCGCTGATGAGACTCCCAAGATAAGTGAAGCGGTCTACACGTTTGACTACTTCACTCCCTATCACTAGTTCACGTGCCGATGAAACCCAATCTTGAAGCAACATTTTGCATTTCGAGGAAGAAAACCGCATCCCGAACATGCTTGCATTGTTGCTTAGGGTGGTCAGAAGACTGCATTTTGTCAGCGTCTTCACCAAGTAGGACAATGTCATCGGCATATTCTAAGTCGATAAGCGAGCCTCCTGGTAATAGGTCTACTCCTGAAAATTCAGACGAGGATAAGGTTATTTCTAGGAGCATGTCTATGATAAAATTAAACAAGAATGGAGAGAAAGGACAGCCCTGACGGACACCCCTTGAGGTAAAGAATTCCGTTGACAGTTCGCCATAAGCTCTCACTCGACCAGTGGTGTTCGAGTAGAGAGCTTTTATGAGGTTAATGTACTTCTTCGGTACACCTTTCAATGACAGACACTGCCACAGAACCTCACGATCCACTGAGTCAAATGCCGCCTTAAGTTCCAGGAAAACAACTATTGTAGGACGTCTAAATGTGTGTCTGTGTTCCAGGACCTGCCGTAGCGTGAAAATGTGGTCCATACAGCCACGTCCAGGTCGAAAACCAGACTGGTTTTCTCTAGTATGCTCTTCACGAGCACTAGTAAGGCGTCTAAATATAATGGAGGCTAACAATTTAGAAACTATATTAGTTAGACTTATTCCCCTGTGATTGTCACAAGAAGACTTTTGTCCTTTCTTATAAATTGGGACAACCAGTGATTGAGATCAGTCGGATGGGATTACGTCCAGTTGCCAGATTCTATCTAAGATCTCAGTCAACCTAGCTGCTAAAACTGGACCACCATCCTTAAACACCCCAGGGGTCAGTCTATCAGGACCTGCAGCTCGCCCTCGATTCAGATTTCTTAACGCTTTCTCAACTTCGTAAAGCCTAAGGGGACTTATGTCGATTTGCCATTCGGGGTGACTGGAGATCATGGGTAACCGAAGAGTGGCTCGAGGCTAGTTGAAATGATCCCTAAAGTGTTCTGCTCATCGGTCCAGTTTCCTGGATTGAGAATAAATAATAGTCCCATCATTTTCCGAGATTGTCTCACTTACACTAGGATTCCTAATACCAGTTTCCTTGATAAGTCGAAAAGTTGTCTACTGTTGCCTATCGCCGCTGCCTTTTCCATCGCCTTTACTTTCGCCACCCACCACTGTTCACGGTCGTTGCGCAGGCTTTTTATCAGCCTGCGCTTAAGCTGACTTCGTTCCTCATTATGTTCAGAGCCAGGTGGGATGAGTTTTCGAGCATCCATCAGTTCGGTTGATGCTACAGTGATCCATGGCTTCATTCTAGCCTTATGGTCAACCTTATGGTTAACCTTACCAGCAGATACCACTGCTGTTTCCACAGCCTTCTTGATATGATTCCAACCTGCCTCCGGATGGGAATCGCTTGAATGGTCGCCTAACTGTCTGTCTAGTTGTTTCTGCAATATATTTTTAGCCTCATTGTCATTAAGTAGAACCCTAAGAGGCTTTCTTACGGTGTCTTTCCTACGCCCAGTAAGCCTCAGACTTATATGAGCTCGCACTAGGGCATGATCTGAATCTAAACATGTGCCCCAGAACGAGCGACAGTCCTCTATCGAACCCCTTCATCGTTGGCTGATGGCAATGTGATCTAGTTGCGTTCAACTTTGAGACGACTTCGGGGGTCGCCAGGTCAAAAGGTGCTTTTTCTTATGCCTAAAGTTAGTGTTTCCTAGAAATAGGCGGTTATCTGAGCATACTTGCAACAGACGGTCACCATTGTCTGTTCTCTGAGCCGCGACACCATAACATCCACCAAGGTGTCTTTCATTTTCACTTAGTCTACCTACTTGAGCATTAAAGTCACCAGCCATTATTAGCACATCAGAGTGCCTAACTTTTTGGAGGAGGTTGGAAGGCTTTCTGTAAAACTCGTCTTTAACTTCGTCTGAACTGCAGTCAGTGGGGGCATAGGCAGACACGATGAAGAGGCAACGGCGAGTGTCCCTATCTTTCCGAGTCCTTACTGTCCCGTTCTGTCGGACGGCGCACAAAGGACTATCTACAGGGATCCAGTCTAGGAGCGCTAGTTCTGCCTTACGACTCAATGCTATACCTACACCAGCGAGACCCCTGGAAGCAGCATCAGGGATACCGGATATAGGAAGAGTAAATCGGGTTGCTTCTTTGTTTTGACAAGGCGAAATCAGATTAATGACTTTACTAGGATCCTGTATGCGCGTTTCCGAGAAGCAGCATACATCGATGGAGCGAGATTCTAAAGTTCTAGCTAACGAAGCCTGTTGCCCTATTTGACACAATATTCGGACATTAAAAGCTACATGTAATTTAGAACGAAGTTTCAGGAGATCAGAAATGACGTTTCGTGAACTCGCATTGTTTGCATTAGCTGTGCAGTGTGAGGTAGGGTGAGGTGTGACCTTTTTACGGTCGACCTTTTCTAACCCCTCCTTCCTTATGAGAGGGCAGCATCGCTGCAGATGCTGGTTGTCCGAGGGAAACACCTTACTGCTGTCACACCCCTCTGCAGTCAGCAGTACGACTTTACCCTCAGACCTTGGGTAGCTGCTTTTAGTCTCATCGTTCTCCAATCGACCTGCCTGGCATGGTAGAACCTTCAGGAACATATGTTCCAGCCAGTATAGCTCGGCTCGGTCATGACGATAGTCAAGCCCGACCACCACGTCAAGGTGGCAGCTACGGTAGGGATTTTGTGAATATAACATCGAAACGAAGTGGTTCGGCACTACAGGGAACTTTACTTAAAAATGACCATGTAAGAGATGTTTATCTAATGTTACGTTTTTGAACAGATCACAGAAATGTTAACATATTTCACTCATAGGATCTGATGTAGGGTTTTTAAACATTCAATAGTGTGGAACATCGTGACACAATAGCCACAATTCCGTGAAAAAAAGATTGAGATGTAAAAAGAGACCCACTTAGGTTACATAAACCAAACGAAACACTACACTTGAAATGCAATGATCTTTGTGAAAGCTTTACATGTAGTCATATATAGATGAATACCATATAGAATGATAAGGCACAGGGTCATCAGAAATCTTGTTTTCCATAACTAGAATATTAGCACAGTGAACAAGCAAACAAGTATTTAAGATGAAATGAAAACGTACAGTTAGAATTATTATTTATTTGACTCGATGTACATTAGGTTAGTTAGATATTATAGAGACAGTTAAAATATTGATTGGCGATATGAAGTAACATATGTTACTGAGGTATTTTTATGAATTATGAAAGCGTCTCAGTATCGCGTGTGTGGACCAAGCGAATGTGAACATGAATAGCACCTTTAGTTCGAGGTTCTTCTCTGATCAAGATTCGCTCATTTTCTACTTGAGATATAATCTGGAAAATGAATGAATGAAAGCAATGATTTTAGGACGTTCGGTATGATCTTAGTGGTGCTGGAAATCGATCGAGAGCGGTATCTTGTGGGTTGGATATCTTCGAACAAAATGTATCTTGCAAACTATGAACTCAAAAAATATCGACTCACATGTTTCTTAGTTGAACAGCTGCTTGTGTAAGTTGATATTTTGAGGTGTCCAGGATATAATCGATGGCTTAAATGTAAAGCCAACTCAGCTACTCTCATAATACTAAGCGGTCCTATGCCGTGAATCCAAAATTCAGATGGCTTTGAGGGACCAAACTGAGATGAAATATGATATTTATATAGCAAACGGTCCACATGACGACTTATGTACAGGATCTGACCCTATAAAAGGTATAATTTCTTCTTATCTGTAAATTACCATAAATCCAGATTTTGCAGATATGAAGATGTGTCGAGATCCAGATGAAGAAGTGTAGATACAAGGGGTTTCGCCGATGACAGCATCCTCATTTAATAAGTCTGTAACCTCCCAAACAGACCCATTAGGAGAGCATTCGCTATCCTCTATTAGTATCTTCATTATAATACACCAGGAGGTATGTTAAATGACAAACGATCTCCCAAGTCACCCCAACTAACTCTAAAATTTAGGAAAATAACAATCCAAACAGCAAAGACAACTGTCCAAGCCAATGCTCCAATTAAACTGAAAGTGGTATCTACGAATAAAACTTAAATGAAATGTTCTAGTACATTTTTTAACCAGCTCAAATTCTGGATAGGACTGTGGGGTGGATAACTCCTTTAGAAAACAAAATACGTTAATCCACCAGAGGAAAGGAAGAAATCCGATTCCAGCTATTAACAAAATTGGTTTTGCGCAACAAGAATAACCTACCGAAAAAGTAAATACGACTAAGTTTCAGTTTCTCTTCACCAGTAAGACGTTGTATATCCATAAAAACCTAGAAAGCAAAGGATTACAACTTAGGGTAAAAAATGGAGTAAAGATATGGTTGATTGGAGAATATCATACAAATGTTATGTTACAGACGTAAATTCATTTACAACCAAGCACTATTTGAAAAGCTCCGCCTGGAGACCCTCTGGGGCTACTGTCAGTTCCAAGCCCGGACAATGGAAGAGGGCTGAATGTGGGGTTAGCGACCCAACCCTGTAGAAAACTAACTTGCCAAAAAAGCGCTAACCGTAAGTCAATTTTACTTAAATCCGCTCTGTAAGTTGGAAGCTTTTCATTTAAAAGTTATGACGTCTGATGATGAAAGCCAAGTTTCTTCAGGAGTCACAAGACCAATGCCCATTCCGATAACCAGAGCAACCCTTAATACAGGTACATAGAACGTCCATACATTAGGCGAGACCAGAAGAACTACTCACGTTGCTACGGAAATAAAAAGGTACAACCTAGTGGTACTTGGGATCACAGAAACATCGGATGCAGGTTGGATACGAAAGACTAGTTTTAGAAGAGATGCGATTATATTTCGGCCATGAAGAAGAAAATGCTACACATAAACTGAATCGGATTTTGAAAATTATTTAACGACTAGTCGCACTAAATTACGGCATAAACTCGAATAGTATATCTGGTTAGCAAAGCCAAACACAAAGTTACATGGATTTCACAAGATCAGACTACACAAAACCAGACCGATCACATCCACATCAATAAGAAGTTTAGAGGTACCGTGGAGGATCAAGGGAGTGGCTGGCATAGACTCAGATCATCAGTTGCTGGTTTCAAAGATGAAACAAACTCAAGTAGCACTGGACAACGGGGCGGACATCACAAAAATCTAAGAGAACTTTTCTTCAGGATACTGACAGACTCAACTGACTCAAAATAGCCCTAAGCAATAGGTTTCAGAACTTTCACGATCTACTCAATGGAGAGGAAACTATCATGGAGAACAACTGGACAGGGATCAAAGAGGCATTGGCTCTAACATGTCGTGAGGTTCTGGGCCACAAGAAGCACCATCACATGGGATGGATCCCTGTGGATACTCTGGACAAGATTCAAGAAACGAAGAACAAGAAGGCTGCAATGAATATCAGCCAAACAAGAGCAGAGAAATCCGTGGTACAAGTAAATAAACAGGTGAAGAGGAACGTCAAAGCTGACAAACTGAAATATCTGCAAGACCTAGCAACGACAACAGAAAAAGCTCCAAAAGAAGGAAACCTGAGACAATTGTACGATACAACGAAGTTTGCCAAAAACTATCGTAAACCAGAATGACCAGTGAAAAACAAGGAAAAGTAATTGGCAACACTGAAGAACGGCGGAACAGGTGTAGGGCACTTCAAAGAACTCTCGAATCGAACAGCCGCACTGAACCCACCGAACATTGAAGCAGTACCCAAGGACGTTCTGATCAATGTTGGTCCAAAAGGGAAAGCCTTCAACAGAGTGTTGTTGAACAGAATGAAACACTCTCTAGACGATTAACTTCGAGATCAGAGGGCTGGGTTCCGTAAGGATCTGTCGTATACCGACCAAATCGCAACACTCCGGATCATTGTGGAACAATCAGTTTGATGAAATTCCCCGCTCCACACCAACTTCATTGACTGTGAGAAAGTATTTGATAGTGTGGACAGGGTGACACTATGGAAGCTTCCTGGACATTACAGTGTGCCTGGTAAGGTATTCATCATAATACGGGATTCTTATGATGGATTAAACTGCAAACTCGTGCAAGTAGGAGAGCTCACAGACTCGTTTGAGGTGAAAACCGGAGTCAAGTACGGTTGCTTATTTTCACCCCTTCTCTTTCTCCTGGTGGTCGAATAGATTATGGGATACAGTGGACGGCCACGATGCAGCCCGATGATCTGGCCCTTCTATCTCACACGCAACAATAAATGCAGGGGGAGACGACCAGTGTAGTAGCAACTTCAGCAGTAGTAGGTCTCAACATACACAAGGGAAACATTTAGTTTCTTAGACAAAACACAACATGCACCAAACAAATCACACTTGACGGAAAAGCTTTGGAAGATGTAGAAACCTTTACACATCTTGGCAGCCTCACTGATAAGCAAGGTGGATGATGCAGAAGTTGGGGCGCAGATCAGGAAAACAAGGGCAGCATTTCTACAGTCTAATCACATCTGGAACTCAAAACAACCACCAACCAATACCAAATAACACGTTACGACGACAACTGGAACCAGACATGAAGAGGATGAAGAGAAACTGGGCACAACTGGAAAGGAAGGTCTAGAACAGAGATAATTTAAGAGCACTGTTGGCTTCATTCGAAGTAACACATGAGTTCGTACTATCTGAAAGCTTATGCTGTTTCGATCAAATGTTTTCATTTTGACACCATTTTCAGAGAAAATATATGCTGAAATTACTTTGACACTCGTCAATCTTTAATTATCTGTTGAGTACGAGGGCTACCAAAACCAAGCATTTGTAGTGTAAAAAGTAATAAAAACTATGATCCATTGGACATTACCGAACACCTGGAACCGTACCGAAAGTACAAGAATCGAGCGCGAAGAAATCAAGTTGGTTTACACTAGCTCGTGAAAAAGATATTGGATATTGGATATTGAATTGGTTTCAGCTTAGTTTAAATTAGGTAATAGAGATTTTTTATGTTAGGCGAAGAAACACCATGAGGAACACCTTAAAATTTACCATAACAAACTACAAACGGTATTTTGTCTGACGCATTTAAATTGATTACTTTACGATGGCACGTACAATAGAAAACAACCGCCAATAACTGAATGATTTCGATTCCTCTCATACAATTCAACAATGGTCAGAATATTGTTGTCAGACTGTTTTATGGGCGAATAAAATTGCTATCTTACGAGCAGTCTAATATTCTTGTCAAGCCATCATGCTCCAAGAAGTTTCCGAAAAATGAGGTCTGGGAATATTAAAAGCCGTAACTTTCTGAACCTGAGCAGATGATAAATACTGTTTTTGATGCTCGTTAATAAGCTGTTGGTGTAACTTCAAGCGTTATACTTTCTCTTTTTGAAGAGACTTGTGCATTATTTTGTGGGTGAAGATATCCTTCGTGGTGGAGGTGGTTTAAGTATTCTTATTTTGTAAGCAATTTTGTTACTCTTCACATTTTCATAGTTTCATTTCATTTGTTCAGTTACTATCACTGACTGTAAAAATTTCGCTTAGATTTAGTCCTGATCTCTGGTCACAGTTTCGTTCACATATTGTGTGCCATGACAAATACTACTACCCGCATACGCCACGTTCTCACTTAGTCAGAGCAGCTAAAGGAACAAATCATAAATACAACAGTTATCTACATTCATATATCAGAGCAAACTTATTATTCAAGTGACCTTGGTACAAGTTGACTTGAAATATATGTATACAGTCCGTAGCACCCGTTCACCATCATTTCGGGGAGCCCATCTACCATATGACGACGCTTTTCCTGGAAAATTTGATCACTTCTATTTATGGCCGTCCAAAATTATATTCGTAATATTTCATCTTTTGTAGTAATCTGCCGTAGGTTTTTATTATCTCAAGAAGGTCACCCTGCTATGAAGAGTGTGGACAAGAGAAACTAAAAAGTAATTTCAGTAAAGATTAAACATAGGTAAGTTCACCAGAAAATACCAAATTATTAGTCCGTTCAGTACGTAAGCGTACCGGTTATCACGATCTCGATCATCCCGGCAGATAAGTAGTGAGTTTTGCGACTGGCCCAAACCTAGATGTGTGTAGCGGTAAGCAAATCCTCAAAAGAAATACTTATTTACGTCCTCAAAATTGAATCTTACCTCACCAGTTTTTCTGAACACACCGTAGCTGAAGGTGCTCGGTCATGCATCGCTACCTCATCGCTGTTGTATACGCCGTACAACTCATCTCCTCGGATTAACGGACAAGATTCATTAGCTCCCACCTCGACATCCTAACCATCCCTCAAAAGTGTTTTCGACCTTCCGTATCTCTAACTAGTGGTGGTACCTGACTTTGAGCATTATCGGTATGAAAGGTGTTACGGACAAAAGCCTCTTCCGAATCTGAGTCTGCGTGACATTTTCAGGATCTTAAGTATAGCGTAGGACCAGATTGATGCGATTAGGAGTATGCTTCTCACTCTGTAACTGTAGTTAACCCTGAATTTTATTAGGGCGTAATAAGAAATTGATAGGGCGTGAAATATATTTAAGACCAATGGAAGACTTCTTCTAGATATATGAGCATACAAGTCAGTCTCTGCTAAACATGAAGTCAGCATAAACATCAAATGACAACAGGTACATTTATTTTAGTTGATCGATTTTGAGGACGTACTCAACTATTCCTTTTGAGGATTTGCTTACCGATAAATGAGGATGTCCATGAATCTTGAAGACATTACAAACTCTGATCTATTTGTGGTTTCCCTTAATCAACAAGTAAACTTTCTTCTACATAAATCGTGTCTCCACGTATATTTGGTTTTAGTATATGTTGTAACAGCCTAGTATTTATAACTACGAGTATTAGTGTTTTTACACATTGAAATCACAAATCAATCGTTGTTAGACCACCATTAGAAACATGGATGCACTGGGCATCCGTTTCTTCATGGTATAGGACTCATTGGCATTGCGCAACTAAGACTATTGTACCTCTCAGCATTCGAACATAGAACCGTCAGTCTTATGTTCAAAGGAGTTTAGGCTGTGCAAATGATGTGAGTTTAGGCACTACACTCCTGCTGATAGACAAAGTAGTTAGAGAGGCGGTAATTCAACACTCTAACCTCCCAGCACAGGTTCCTGAGGTCCGGGTCATGTGATACATACGTGCTAGGCCATCTGAATGATATTACACAAAAACAAGACAAGAGGCTACAGGTATCATTCCTACTATTAGACTCTAAGAAGGCTTCTGACAACTTCCCACACAGGAAGCAGCTCATCAAACTGGAATAGTTCCGTATCAGCCAACCACCATATTTTTCGATCTGTTTCATTCGAAAATGGACGCAAACATGAAGCATAAAAAACGAAGAAAAAGTTTCTACTGACTATCTTCCAAAAGAATCGCTATTCACGCAACTTCATTGGAAAATGTCTAGTGAAACCATCAACAGAAGAGAAACTTAGTGCAGGAACCAAGAAACAGATAATTTCATCCCATGTAGAAGACGTTACGGAAATTACTGCACGATTATTGAAACCATCTGGAATAGGTGTAGCACACAAATCAATAGAATCACTTCAGTCGTTCATTAGTAAACCAGAGGAAGAAAATGAGAAAATAATGAAAACAAAATGTCATCAACAAGATAGGCTTCTGTGAATAACTATACACAGGACAAAGTAGACATTCTCTTCAGCTTCATCTGCGTTAACACCAACTAGCGGTCAGACACCACGACCTTTCTTCCTTTATATCAGTACATTCGAACTACTCTGGATACACATACGGCAGGAACAATCTTGAAATACTGGATACAGGGAGCAGAAAGAACACTAGAATGTTTTCAGAAGTCAGTCAGCAACGAAAAGCACATCAACAGTGATCCAGTTTATCAACCAATCAGAAAAATCATAGATAAACATAGGATCAAGAAATTGATCGTAGGGGAATACAATCAAAGTAAAGGTGTAGACGACGACAGATTTGAGGTCAATAACAACCAGTCAAGATAGAGGTTAGCAGCAAAAGCTGCGAGGCATACTTGAGATCCAAATGATTTACTTCTATCCGACATTTGTGTTATGTTGTTCAGAAAAACAATGGAAGCTTCACAACCAAAATATCCAGCTCAGGAAACGACACTCTAGCACAATAATAATAACAATGATAATAATAATATTGTTTAACGACTTCCTTTCATCATCAAGACCAATGACCTGTGGAAATACCCAGAGAAGTATATTAGGTTTTCTATTGTTGCGAACGCACATGAAAAATTTATGTTACACAACCAAATTCAGAAGACTATACCTGTATGCAAACGGTCTCATAATACCATACTTCTATAAGCCTCAAGAATTCGATGAAGATAAAACCTGTATTAAGGCCTTGACAACCTATCCACCTTGAGCAAGACTGAGATGATATCAGTTTTAGCAGATGCGAAATCTACTGTTAGTTATTTTATAACTAATTGTAGTTATGTAATAACTAACCAATCAGATTAGCTTAAGCGCTCACCACGTTATCTAGTCTGACCGGTCTGTAAACTTTCATTGTTGTAAATGACCTATTGATTGAAGAACGTTATTATTTTATTATATTGATGTGACTCATGTTTTTATTCACTTTCTACAGACACGCTATACTGGTCGGTACGTCTGCTCGTCTTACTTGATAATTGTAATTTCCTTATTTATTGTACTAATTTAATCGTTTTTTTGTTTAGAAACGGATAAAGTTTAAAACCAAGTTGACTTTACTATAGCTTTACCAAGACTCTGTGCTCGCCGGTATTGCGTTTACTGTTCTAGAATCACATCTGTAGGACAATTAAATCCTACAAAAATTCGACCAGTAGCTCAAAAGAAGTTCATATACTGAGTACCTTCAAATGTCTACGGAGAATCATAAAACTGATCAGATTCCCGAATTCTCTCCCCACTAATCGGAAACACATAGCGAAGACCAGTGTAAATTTATTTCGACAGTGGCCGTCCCAATTGTTTCCAATAGAAGCACTCCTGTACGCTTTTCCTAGTCCCGGGTCCCAACCAATTCAAAAAGGACAAAATTCTAGGAGAAAACGTCTCTGTATTAGCTAGAAAAACGGAAATACAAAGCCTTACGGAAATTGTGTTTCTTCAAGGGTTAAGTTACTCCGCAGAGTATCCGACACAATAACCAATAAGTGACGCTAAGTCCAGCAGCCACTGCGTCCGTCCGAAAATGTGGCGGTAGCCATATTATATCAGATTTAAACAATATATGTACAGTTCAGAAGCAAACACAAAAACTTCAATATAAGTACAAAATATAGAAAGAATAACAATATACAATGATAAAATCTCAAATTGGAATCAAATAAAATACCAAAAATGTCAAAGGAAAAAGTCCATCATGTCATAGCAAAAATATGTAAACATGGAGGGATTTTCCAAAACACAAAACATTCAAAAAGAATTCTACACCGGCCCGCAAAATCCCTCCATGCAAGAAGAGCAAGCGTTAATGACACTTTATTTAGGGTTCCCCGTTATCCCCTAATCCACACCGGAATAACGTGTAGGACTTACAGCAGTACGCCTACCCGCCATCCAACATGGATATGACCTATCAAGCTAACTAGGTACCTATACCTTCCCATCAGGCCCTTGATTCCCCTATCTATCGTGGAATGACCTAACGGTAGTATAAACCTTACCCAATTAACCCACACGAACATGAACAACACATCGTAAAACCGGTCATATCCTATCCGAAGACTACATTCTCTATCATGGGGACGAGTCGCCAATCCACCACCACTTGCTCCGATCAGCAGATACAATGAAGTCCGTGA